AGACCTATCCTAAGAATATATTTCTTATTGGGGCGATAATTTTAAAAAGAAAAAATGCCTATCGTTTTTTATTCTTTCGAAATTATTTTCACTCTTTTTGCCGGGCCGGCTTATTCAAGTCCAGTATGTTGTTCTCTATTTTGCCGTATTCTCCACATATTTTTGAGTAGCATAGATAGTGACTCTGACTCATCATGCTCTCTTCGATTTATCTCCCTCCAAAGTGCATAGACTGTGGTTGAAAGATGTACTGGAGGAGATGTACAATACGATCCCAGTTCGTTGTGTATTTATATGCAAGTGTTTTTTTTGGTGAGCTTCTCCCAAATTTGAGCTGAACAAGAGCATTTGAAAACTAGATGATCCCACAATTCCCATGGCTCTTTACATAAGACGCACAATGGGTTGATGTTTGAGTCCCACTTTATTATTCGAACACTTGTGGCCAGACGATATTAAGGATATAGATATAGAATAGGGAATGTGATTGTATTAGATGATTAGCGTACAATATGTAACCTCTACTAGACCTCTTGAAATTATTTACTCAGATGTGTGGTCATCACCGATTTTATCTACTGATAAATTCAAATATTATCTCATTCTAGTAGATCACTATACTCCATATTCTTGGTATGTTTGCTCCACGACCATACCTCGGCAAATGTCAAATCTGTGGTACACACGGGCATGGCGCAAAACTGTGTCCTCAGCTTCAAAGCTTCCAAGCAGCCTCTCAGCAGACTCAGTTTCCGCCATGGCAGCAGCAGCCTCGAGTAAACATGATTGCAGCACATCCATAGGCGGCTACTCCTTGGTTGCTATACAGTGGTGCTACTCACCATATCACTTCTGACCTGCAAAACTTGGCCTTGCATCAACCATATGAAGGAGGTGAGACTGTGGTGATTGCCGATGGATCAAACAAATTCATTGCACACACGGGTTCTATTTCCCTTCCCTCTACACACCCTTTCCTTATCTATATCTATATCCTTAATAGACGGTTCTTCACCGCAAGCCATTGGAGAAAAGATGATCTGGGTGTTGCATACAGAAACAAGACTTCCTTTAACCAACTACAAACTGGATCCTCCTCTCTAATGAGTCCTTCAGTGTTCTTAGACAAGAACTTCTTATATCTATCATCCTTGCATTTCCACAGAACAGTATCCATGTTTTCAGAGTTCTTTAGCCGCAGTATATCAATCTCTGTCTTCCATGTGGGTTCTCTTCCTGTGTTTCAGCAACACATACTCCACTGTGACTTTTCCTGATAAGCTATATATATCATCTGGACCCAGTGACATCATTTGACACATTTAACTTGTTGAGAAATGATCCCTTGAATAAGCCCTGCAAATGAGAAAGACAAACAATTAAGAGAAAAAGAAAAAAAAAAGAGTTAAGTATGTGAAAGAAGAAACAAAGGAAGAAGAAACAAGTGATCATGAAGGAAGAAGTAAAGTAAGGAAAAAAACACCAAACCAGAAGTCAAAGAAGAAAATTAGTATCTATGTGAAAAGAAGAATAAGAATAGTTGACATCGGTCTAGGTGTTAGTAAGCTAACTAAACTCAGAATGTGATTTAGAGAGTTGCTATGAGTTGTTAGAATATTGACTGCATTTGTTTGTAAGAATAGCCTATATTCTAGATGCCTAAATTGGGAGTAATAGGGCAATTAGGCATGGTGATATTTGATATGAAAAAAAAGCTACTATAAATGTAAGAGTAATCTATCATAAGGTGTATGTACAAAAGGAAAGAAAAATGTGTTGAGAATTTACACTTGCATAAAAAGGACAGACGAAAGCATGGAGAATCAAAGTGAGGAAGGTAGAATAAGAAAAGTTCACCAGATTTCATAAGAGGTGAGTGTGGTTCAACAAACAGAGTGAGCAATCTAACATAACTTCTTGTCTATCATCTTTTGAAATAATTTTTCTACAAAGGCTGATTGCCCTTTATAGTAAAAATTTAGTAAGACCGTGAGACAAACATATATAGTTAGGTATCAAAGCTAAACATATATATACTAAAATAATAATAGATTTGCCAGTGTTATAAAACATATTAAGATTACTATATGTTATACTAATGTTATTATTTATATTAATGTTACTTATTTTATGTATTTACATGATTATATCTATTAGATAGCTGCTTGCAAAGTAATTTCAAATTTATTAATTTATCATTTTATATATTCAAATATGTTTTTAATTTTTTTTTAATTTGAAACTATTTATATAAGCTTAATCTATACTTTTATATATAAAATTATATTTGAAGTATATTTTATGTTCATTTTTATAAAACTAATGTATACCTTAATTTTATATTTATATTTCATATAAAATATATATTTGTCTAGACTCCGTTTACACGTACGCGTATACAGTTAGATGCTAAAACTTCATCCGCTGGATAAAAAGTGTAACGAACTAGTTTTAGAACACTGCAATTCACATACATTTTATGTAGATGAATGTTATAACTCTACAAAAATCATCAATTAGGTTTTGTTTGACAAAATTTCATTTTAAGATATAATTAACTCTACTATGTTTCTTTGACTAAAAGTTTAATATACGGCGAAGATTTTTTATGCATGAACTCATAGAAATTGTATTTGCGGTCAAGTAGAGCTATTTGTTTCTGGTTTCAGAATAAATCTCTATTCCTCCACATAATTTCAGAGCAAGTGGTTGTTTCCACTGATTCCAAATACATATACATTACTACAATTTGTTGCATGTAACGTCTAAATTGTTGTGTCGAAGTTCAACATGTACTTTTTTGCCATAAGTTAATCAAAAAGTTATAGTTTGTTACCTTTTCATAGAAAAATTGTTTACATTTTACTAGATCAAAATACTAAAACGATCGTGAAATCAAACGCGAAATAAAATGTAATTTTTAATATTGATTTATTATAATATTACAATTATGAAAAAAATATTATATAGAAACTTGACAACAAAAAACATTATCTATCTCGTGATGATATACATCTAACTGCATCATTTTAGTCATCCTATAACGACATAGATTTGACCTTGTTTATTTGCACCATTTATTTGCACCATGGCGAATACAGCTTATAGTATTTCCTCTGTTAATTTATATAATTGTTAATAAATTTTTTTTTACGGAACTTGAAACCTTGATGAATCCTCATACAAATGTATGGACCAAAGGGGATTCTACAACAAAATGTAACTTAATCCAGTAACTTTCAATCTAAGGAATGTCTTTATGAGTAAACGTTGATGCAGTTTGTACCTTTAAGATCAAAATAGATAACTAAAAATGTTTTGGAATTTCTTGATCAAAGATATTTTCTTTATTGAAAGATTTAACGATCTTTTTTTCTCTGAGCAAAATATACATTTTATAAAAAAGAGAGGGGGACATGTAATTAGCCTTTTGCTTATCTCAACCATCGAGTCCAGGACGGCATGGCTGTACATAGGCAGAATTATCTGGGTGCGTCTACATATGTTTACCTTCATAATATTAAAGAAACAAGAGTTTTTGTTGGACTGTTTAGGATATTCAGAGAATCAAATGTTCGAGGACATATATCGATTTTTTTTTGTAAAAAACTATATTGTTTATCTCCTAGTTGACCAATAACTTAGTTAGCTTTGATATTTAGCATATATTAAATTCGAAACTCGGGAATTGTTTACTAAATGGATAATCCTCACGTTTTTAAGTACGAAATTTTATACTATAAAGTCAATCAGTCAGCCAGCCTTTGTTGAAATATTCTTTCAAAAGATGAAAGACAAAAAGTTACAATATGTCGAGTCCATGATGAAATCGATTTACATCTTCTTCTTAATGACCTTACGTACCCATTTAGGTCGTTTATACTCCTCAACAGAATAATATACATTACGTAATGATGTAAAGCAGTTTTACCATCGCCTTCATGACATTGACAATTATGGAAATTTACGAATGGTATTGTATGACTAATGAAAAATGTCAAAGGCATGAGAGAGATTACCATGATGCCATGAAAAAATGTCAACGTGTGACTTCGTACCCACTGCTGACCTAGCCATGATGCACCTTGGAAGGTGATAGTTTTGCATTCCCTTCCATTAAGGCCACGAAAACTATAAACACACAGATTTTTTTCCATATAAAATTAAATTATTCGACCTATCTCTGGAATTTGTATTTCTACAACTCAAGTTGATTCAAAGTCAATGCAGAATCAAACAAAGTGAGTAGCACGATTTTCTTCCTAATTAAACCAGCTTAATAAACATACGAACCTAAACATTAAAAATGATTTTGTAAGGAAATATATATATAGAGAGAGAGTTGAAATTTTCAGCCTGAATTATGTATGGAATTATATACATGGAATCAAATAGGTGGCAGAGTAAAAATAATTAATAATAGGAATATGCGTTAAGCAGCAAGAAGTATGTTGCATTTTTGTCAACTTTAATTTAAAATCGCACAGCAGTGTAACACCTCCACTAATTATTTCTTTCCTGATATGATGATTTATTGGGAGCAATAACTCTTTGTTTTACAAATTTTAGAAAGAGATTTTGAAAATAATTATTTTTTTCTCTTATCAGCTTCATCAAAATTTCAAACAGAATTTTTTAAATAAAATAGAAAATTTGTTGTGTGTAAGACTAATAAGCAATAACTAAAGATAAATAATAATTCATGGTTGAAATTTTTTACTAGAGTGAAAGTAAATAAGTTTCTTCATGATTTCAGTAGAAAGGAGACCCACAAGGCAACAAGTATTAACTCTGGGGGTTAATGAATAGTAATTTGAACGATATCAAAGGCAATGCTATTCCTAATCAACAATTAAGGAAACAGAAAAGCAAATCATAAATTCATTAAGGAGAAGGCATGATAGATGGAGACTACTTATTGGGGACCCACAATAACTAAACGGCTGAAGACTTCGTCGCTTTTAGTAGTATAAAAACAGAACTCATCTCGACTATTCAACACACACCGAATACCTTCTTATGATCGAGTGAAACGGTGGACACAGCTGCCGTTTTAGTGCTATTTCTCTGGCACCATTTGTAAGGTTTTTTTGAAGTGAAGAAAGGGAGAAATGTCGAGTCTCCAGGATATCAAGAACGAAACTATTGATCTGGTAACAATTATTTTTATGTCTCTGTTTATTATCATCATGCCCAATGCATTTTTTTTTAAGAGAGTGCATTATTATAAATTTTTAATCAGTTCCGACCAAGTTCTTTAATTTGTTTTTGAGACAAACATTTCTCTTTCTGAAGATATGTAATGAATCTTCTTGTGCACGTGAATGTCTGAATAATTTCAAACTGTTTATCTATCATTGATTTTTTGCAGGAGAAATGTCCGATAGAGGAAGTTTTCCAGCAACTAAAATGTACGAAGGAAGGTTTGACGACTCAGGAAGGGGAAGCCAGGGTTCAGATTTTTGGATACAACAAGCTCGAAGAGAAAAAGGTCTTTTAACTTCTTTTTTTTTTTTGGCTATTTGCATTTTAGTTTTTGTGTTGTTTACTAAAAACTGTCTTTGCACAATGAATGTTTACAGGAAAGCAAGATTCTCAAGTTTTTGGGATTTATGTGGAATCCCCTTTCATGGGTCATGGAAGCTGCTGCAATCATGGCTATTGCTTTGGCAAACGGTGACGGTAGGCCTCCGGATTGGCAGGACTTTGTTGGTATCATCTGTCTTCTTGTCATCAACTCTACCATCAGTTTCATCGAAGAGAACAATGCCGGTAATGCTGCTGCTGCTCTCATGGCTGGTCTTGCTCCAAAAACCAAGGTTTGTCGTAAGAGAATGCTTTGTGAAGAATGTAACAAAGTTTCTTCTAGTGCTAATGTTGTTGTTATGTTTCTCCGTTTTCTAGGTTCTTAGGGATGGGAAATGGAGTGAACAAGAAGCTGCTATTCTTGTCCCAGGAGATATTGTCAGCATTAAGCTCGGAGACATTATCCCTGCCGATGCGCGTCTTCTCGAAGGTGATCCTTTAAAGGTGGACCAGTCTGCTCTTACCGGAGAGTCTCTCCCTGTAACCAAGCACCCTGGTCAAGGAGTTTTCTCTGGCTCAACCTGTAAACAAGGAGAGATCGAGGCAGTCGTTATCGCCACAGGTGTTCACACCTTCTTCGGTAAAGCTGCTCACCTTGTGGACAGCACAAACCAAGTTGGACATTTCCAGAAAGTTCTTACAGCTATTGGTAACTTCTGTATCTGTTCCATTGCCATTGGTATGGTGATTGAGATTCTCGTCATGTACCCTATCCAACGCCGAAAGTACAGAGATGGTATTGATAATCTCTTGGTCCTATTGATCGGTGGTATCCCTATTGCCATGCCTACGGTCTTGTCTGTCACCATGGCTATTGGATCTCACAAGCTTGCTCAGCANCAGCTATTGGTAACTTCTGTATCTGTTCCATTGCCATTGGTATGGTGATTGAGATTCTCGTCATGTACCCTATCCAACGCCGAAAGTACAGAGATGGTATTGATAATCTCTTGGTCCTATTGATCGGTGGTATCCCTATTGCCATGCCTACGGTCTTGTCTGTCACCATGGCTATTGGATCTCACAAGCTTGCTCAGCAGGGTGCCATCACCAAGCGTATGACTGCCATTGAAGAAATGGCTGGAATGGATGTGTTGTGCAGTGACAAAACCGGGACGCTAACTCTCAACAAACTTAGTGTGGATAAAAACTTGGTTGAGGTTTTCTGCAAGGGTGTGCAGAAAGACCAAGTTCTTTTATTTGCAGCTATGGCTTCAAGAATTGAGAACCAGGATGCCATCGACGCAGCCATGGTTGGGATGCTTGCTGATCCAAAAGAGGCTCGGGCTGGAATCACGGAAGTTCACTTCCTTCCGTTCAACCCTACTGATAAGAGAACTGCTTTGACTTACATCGACTCTAGTGGTAACTGGCACAGAGTCAGTAAAGGTGCGCCCGAACAGATCCTAGAACTTTGCAAAGCCAGCAATGACCTTAGCAAGAAGGTGCTCGATATCATCGAAAAGTATGCCGAGCGTGGTCTCAGGTCTTTGGCTGTTGCTCGCCAGGTACTTTGCTTTGATACACTTTAGTTTACTGCTTGGAAACAAATATTAATTTTTTGTTTGTGTTCCTTCTTTAGACGGTGCCAGAGAAAAATAAAGAAAGCCCAGGTGGACGATGGGAGTTTGTTGGCTTGTTGCCACTTTTTGATCCTCCAAGACATGACAGTGCTGAAACCATTCGAAGGGCTTTGCATCTTGGTGTTAACGTCAAGATGATCACTGGTAATAATCATGCCTCGCTCTTCAATATTGTTATTAGGCATAAATGTTTCACATCAGAAATTGAAAAAAAAATCTAATATAATATGTTTAAATTTAGTTTCTACCAATTGGTTTTAAGTTGGAAACTCGTCTTGTCGTGGTAACTAAATATATTTTCATTTCCTCCGCTAACATTCATTTGTACAATGCATGTGACCAGGTGACCAACTTGCTATTGGTAAGGAAACTGGTCGCAGACTTGGAATGGGAACAAACATGTACCCGTCCTCGGCTCTTCTCGGTAACCACAAGGACGCATCACTTGCAACCATTCCCGTTGAGGAGCTGATCGAACAGGCTGATGGTTTTGCTGGAGTCTTTCCAGGTTATTCTTTTTTTTTTTTTCTTTTATGTTCTCAGTGAAAAGATGGTTACATGAAATCTAAGCTTCTTTGTTTTGGACATTGCAGAGCACAAATACGAGATTGTGAAGAAGTTGCAAGAGAGGAAGCATATCGTTGGAATGACTGGTGATGGTGTCAACGATGCTCCTGCTTTGAAGAAAGCTGATATTGGTATTGCTGTGGATGATGCTACCGATGCTGCTAGGGGTGCTTCAGATATCGTTCTCACCGAGCCTGGACTCAGCGTTATCATCAGTGCTGTCCTCACCAGCAGAGCTATTTTCCAGAGAATGAAGAACTATACCATATATGCAGTGTCAATCACAATCCGTATCGTTCTTGGTTTCATGCTTATTGCTCTCATTTGGAAGTTTGACTTCTCAGCATTCATGGTTCTGATTATTGCCATTCTTAATGATGGTGAGAAAGACTGCCCTTATTGTATATATCTCAAGTCCGTTATATACACAAGTTACTTATATTTTATATGTGTTTTCTATAGGTACCATCATGACAATTTCAAAGGACAGAGTCACGCCATCTCCCACACCTGACAGCTGGAAACTTAGAGAAATCTTCGCTACTGGAGTTGTGCTTGGAAGCTACTTAGCCATCATGACTGTTGTTTTCTTCTGGTTGGCAAACGAGACCGACTTTTTCTCGGTAATAATAATAATAATATGTCTTCTTTTCTAAGTGTATAGAGTTTTAAACTAACTTTCACTTTTTTATTTACAGGACAAGTTTGGTGTAAGATCCATCAGGGGTAATGAGCACGAGCTAATGAGTGCGGTGTATCTACAAGTTAGTATCATTAGTCAAGCTCTAATCTTCGTCACACGATCAAGGAGTTGGTCTTTTGTTGAACGTCCTGGAGCATTGCTCATGATTGCTTTCCTCATTGCACAACTGGTAAGAAGATCTTTTTGAGGGATATATCATTAGGTAGAGAAACCTATTTTTAATCTATTTGTTGCATCCAAATGCAGGTTGCCACTGTGATTGCGGTCTACGCCAACTGGGAATTTGCTGAGGTTAAAGGTATTGGATGGGGATGGGCTGGAGTGATCTGGATATTCAGTATAGTAACATACTTCCCACTGGATGTTCTCAAGTTTGCCATTAGATACGCCTTGACCGGAAAGGCTTGGCTCAACATGACTGAGAACAGGACGGCTTTAACGACGAAGAAAGATTTCGGAAAAGAAGAGAGGGAGGCTCAATGGGCAGTTGCTCAGAGGACACTTCACGGTTTACAGCCAAAAGAACCTGTTAACGTCATTCCTGAGCAAGGAACTTACAGAGAGTTGTCTGAGATTGCTGAGCAAGCCAAGAGAAGAGCTGAGATCGCTAGGTATAGTAAACATTTTTTTATCTCTACCTCTACGTGTTACCTATTCTTTGACTGGAGTGTAACACTAACTGAATGTTTTATATGTTTAACAACAGGCTTAGAGAGCTGCACACACTCAAGGGACATGTGGAATCAGTAGCCAAGCTAAAGGGCTTAGACATTGAAACTCCAGGACACTACACTGTCTAGTGACGCAAAGACAACAAACCAAACCAAACACATGGCTGATTTTTTTCCCTTTTATGTTGTGTACTTTTTTACCTTTTATGTTGTGAGATATCTTGCTATGTTTTGCAAGAGCAAGTCTATTTAATTCATGTTTGCAAGAGAATAAAATTCTTGAACCCTGCAGAAATGTAATTTTTTGAAACTTTTATTAATGAATATTTTTTTTTTGTTTTGTGTCTATTACATCTCACTTATAATCTCTCTCTCTCTCTATATATATATATACACATAAAGCTCGAAGCATAAGATAAGGATGTACACGGCATAATCCCCTATATATTATTTGAGAATCATTTAAAAAGTTGTAACCTTAAATTTGTAAGAATTAAAAATAACTTCAATCCTACGTGGCAGAGCTCTTTGGCTTCTATTTCAAATTTCAAGGATTCTAGAGCATGTGATATAATGTATAGTTTAAAAATTATATTCTCTAGCAATATAATATTCCGTAGGCTATAGTTGGTCGCATATATCAAATATTTATTGTTTCGCATACTTTCCTTAAATAAAACCTACGGAATTACCTAATGTGATCAAAATATATATATGACAATTAATGATTTTAAACAATAAAGATTTGATAACAATCTGTATATTTTTTTCATTTTGTTTATTTCTTTATTATTAAAATAAATTACATAATTACATTAATCATATAATAAAAATCTAAATTTTTTTTTGTGTATGTTGTATTTCGAATTTTTCAAAATGAATATAAATTACTAAAACTGTTAAAAGTCCCACATAAACTTTTAAGATCAAGGTTTTAATTTTTTTTCTATACTAAAATATAATGAATATAAGACCATATGAACAAATAATTTTAGTTGATATATATTTAATATCATTTTAATTAAACTATACATCATATGAAAATAGATACTTATATTTTGATATTTGCCTTGAACATATATTGAAAAGTTAATATTTTAATTTTGAAATATGTCATTGTTTTTTTTAAAATGATTATAAATTATTGAAACTACTAAACATCTCACATTAAAAAATATTCGTTGGTGTAAATTTTTGTTACACAAATATGCAAATAATCATAAAATCATATGAGTAGAAACCTCATTTAATAAATATCCATAGTAAAAGTGTGTTATATTACTATGTTTGTATCATTTAAATTTAATTATATATCATATACAATATATAAGATTGATTATTTTGATTTATTTATCCTAATTGTGAATAAACAAGAGTAATAGTTAAATTTATATGCATACGCCAATTTATTACATAATAGTAACTGATTTCTTAGTTATTTAATATATATATATTTATTATTTTATTATTTATAATATGCATAAAAATATAATATAAATAATAAATATAAAATACTTATTGTGCATTAAGTGCAGATCTTAACCTAAGTATGTATCTCTTTAATTATTTTAAATCTTAAGTATTTTCTAAAACAAACGAAATGAGAATAAAATTCAAAATAAATATTTATATCGAGTAATAAACAAAATATAAAAAAAAACATAGCAAGAGAAAAATGGAAGATAAATAGGAATGAAACGTGAACGTAAACTTCTCATAACCATAATTAATTTTTAAATTGTTAAATCATGATATAAAACTGAGTTAATTTTTAATTTGTTAATTTTTAACTTTTTCAATTTTTTAAATCATAATGGTTATGTTAAATCATGACTATAATTAATTTTAAATTTTTTCTTTGTATTTGAAAAACTTAAAATATTGTTTTAACAATAATAATTTGTAAAAAAAATATAATTTTCTAATATTATTAGACAGATAAATAAATTATATTAAATTAGTTTTGAAACTTTATATATTTTAAATGCAAATATTTTACCAATTGCTTCTTAAAAAACATTAGGGAACTTGCTAATACTCTACCAATCAACCCAGTGACACTCCATTTATTTTCCATCACTCGAACACTGAAAAGTGAAAAGATATATGAAATCAGATCCATTAAATTTTAAGATTTGATCTACATTTCTAACTAAAATGGTTTCTTATCATACGTATAGATAATCATATAAAAATTTCAAAATTCTTAAATTTCAAATACATACAAAAACAATCATATGTAAATTTTAAATTTGTCAATACTAAAATTTTATATTTTAATTACATATATTCACCCTGCGCAAGGTGCAGGTCTTATCCTAGTCTCAAGTTAAAGTGTTTAAAAAAAAAAACTAGCATAACTCTCCCTAAAATAAGGGAAACACACGTAAATTATTCATCTCATTCATTTTATTACTCTTATAATAACTCGTATTTTCATTCAATTAATATTTAATCTTCATATTCAACTATCATATTCAGTTGCAACCGAAAATAAATAAGTACTAGATTTTGATCCGCGCTTGAAAGCACAGAATTTGTTTTTGATTAAAAGTTTATATAATTAGTTTTGTCTTTATTTAAAATATGTTTTGGTATACAATCTGGTGATGATTGTTTTGCATTAGTTTTTAGTTTCAGTTTTTATTTTTTAGATTTGGTTTTAGATTTTGATTTTTGATTTTTAATTTTTAAGTTTCTAGTTTTTATTTTCAGTTTTTGGTTTCGGTTTTTAGCTTTTAGATCCACTGAGCTAGTTTGAACTCATAATTACCAACAAACAAATCTCAAAGAATCGAACATCTAATTTAAAACTGAACATATGACAATTTTTATTTAAAAAAATTGCAATAGTTTATTTTGTAAATAAACAAAACAAAAACAAAAATATAGCATGCGTTTTCGGCTTTTGGTTTTGGATTTTAATTTTTAGATTTGGTTTTTAGTTTTGCTTTACATTTTTTTTTAAATTAGTAAATTATTTAAGAAAAATAAAAAAAATAAATTATTATAAAAGTTACCATTGAAATTTATCAAGACAAAGTGATTGTTATTTAAAATAAAAAATACTAACATGTTTTAAAGTACATGATTTAAATAAGTGATTAATAATATATAATTTTGTTTTCTTAAAATATTAAATACTTTTGGGCCTTAAAATAGTAATTGATTTTTTGATCCATTAGGTAGAACATTTATTCAATGTTTTTATGGAGTTTTTCTTTAATATTAAACCCAAAACTCAAACTATATAATTTTTCATAGATACAAAAGTAAGCCAAAAACTCTATTCCATAAATAACTGCCGGTTTATTTTAAGTAATGCGGTTCAATCAACTATATGACATGTATTATTTGTAACACTCATATCAGTAGATAAAAAGAATGACTCTATTTTAATAGAGTAGATATGCTTCCGGCCTCTTAAATATGAATTTATTAGAGGTTGATCCATGCATCACCTCATATATTTTTTCAATTTTATAGGGGTTAAAATTTGGTTTATATAAGAATTTCATAACTATGTAGTTTAAAATTTGGTGTTATATTGTATAAATCTAGACCATTTTTTCATGTGCTTTGTTTGATCTTATCAATATATTTTTATATGTAGTATAAATTGTCATCAGTTGTTAATAAATATCAATTTATAATCATAATATTTATTACAAAATATTTCCAGTTTGAAGTAATCAAATAGATGAACATCATAAGAAATAGAAGATTAATCGAAATTTTCTAGTTTGCAGCCAATATTTTTATAAGATTCATTTATGATACTCTTAATATTTTTCGTTATGCATTGACTTTTCGGTTCAACTTTGTTTTGTAATATTAAGTTTTGGCTCTGTTTTTCATTGTTCCTTGTTTAATTAGTATGGTATTAATTCAATTTTTTTCGCAAAACCTTGTATATATGAGTAATAAATCTCCATGATAATTCAGTTATTAGATGCAAGCAAATAATCAGAATTTCATAATACCTCCAACTCTTCCATTGAGCGAGAACCAAACTGAGATACATAGAAAAAAAAAACTTGTAGCTACTAGTTCTGTGTATGGCATTTTGAGTTTTTCTCCTCTAGGCTTTTAGTTTCTTAGGCTTCACGTCATTACGACATAAGCATAAAAGAAAACAGTAAACATAAAAAAGAAACTTGCAGCTACTTCATGCTCAGACTACATAATTGTCTGGATACAAAAAAAATACTAATGCATTTTCGAGCTTAGATTTCATATAAATAACAGTGAGTTCTTACTGAAGATTCCGAAGAATGTCTGAGATGGAAGAGAAGACATAAATAATTCACGCACAGGAGGAAAGATTACATAGCATTCCTTCAGAGGTATGAAGGACAACGAGTTTTTCACTGCTTGACTTTTAGCCAAACATAAATTCCCCACTATCTTCACTGCAACTAGCACATGCATAAGGGCTAGAGAATCTGTAACATGAGCAGAAAAGCTTATACTTTCTCAAAAAAAAAAAAAAATGATAACAAGCCTTCATGACATAGGAGACATAACAACATATGTCCAAAGGAAACCAAATTCACTTGAAAAAACAAGTTAACAAGCACACTTTCTTCAATCTCCAACAAATGATGCGGATATAAAGGAGGGGGATTTACAATGCATACCAAGTAAAGGAGGAAACTTGACGTTTTTAGTAGCTCTCAGGTCTTTTGTTAGAATCCTTAGCCTCAGTACCTGATAATACATTATTCCATTTTATCAATAAAATCTTCAAGCATTATACTTTCTCAAAAAAAAAAAATGATAACTGGGTGCAGAAAAGTAAGATCAAAGATTTTTAGTAAAATTCAAGCAAACAGATTGAGTAATTGATTGATCTCCCTAGAGTAATAAGCTCCCAAATATCGATACTAGCTTTTCAAACACAAAGATCACTAAGCCTTGCAGTATGAACCCGCTTTGTT